AAATATAGAAATAATAAATTAATAATATTTATTTGTTTAAAACTCTATTCCATAGATGTATTAGAGATTCTTCACTGGAGAGAGATAGCAATAAGAACCATAGCATTATTTCAAAATAGCGAGGCATTGCTGTATCACAGCTTCACTGAGAAGTTGACTATTAGTTTTAATCCGAAGATCCAGAGCCCCATTGCTGTTAACCATTCCATGTAGTAGACAGACAGGGCCTTGGAGAACGGTGCCAGCGGCTATGGCTTTTGAGCCTGGAACAAGATAAACAGGTTTTACCGGATAGAAGAACAAGTTTAAACAAGACAAGCAGGATTTTTTTGGTAATGCGATCAAGTTTTTTACACAGGTCAAACAGGTTTTGCTAGAAAGAAGTACAATTTTAAACAAGGCAAGAAGGTGTTATTGGAAATGCGAGCTAGTTTTAAAAACAAGCCAAACAGGTTTCACTAGGAGGACGAAAACGTTTATAAGCCAGTTCAACTTGTTTAACAGAAAAGAGAAGTGAATAGACAGCTGAAGAAACTTTACTCTACCATATCGATAATGTTGGATCAAGAGCCGGATTTAAATGACCGAAGTTCGGAGTTTGTGTGTGTGTGTGATAAATAACACGATAGCTGACCTCTCGACAATGTACCACGACATCATAAGTTTTTATCGAGGTTTTTTTCCGGGATCTTTAAGATCCTTTGAAGTGACCTTCCTTCGAAACCAATCTTTCTATTTCAAAACCTCAATACAATATTGAAGGGTGTGTGGAAGCAAGTGCGGATCCAGCCAAAATTTTAGTGGGGGAGGGTGGGCTAATTGAGTTTCTTCCGTCAACACAACGGGAAACAATAAAAAAAAGCATCTAATTCTTCAGTTTTATTTTGTTTTGTTTTTCTGCTGAAGGGGGCCTTTAGCCCCCTTTGTCCACCCCCCTGGATCCGCCCTTGGAAATGGTGTACCCGATTGTCAGTTAACTACTAATTTTTGGGTCCGGCAATTGTCAGTTAACTGTTAATAATATTAAAGTGCTGAGCATAATATTAACCAATTTATAATATGTAAAATATTATCATATTATAACTTAACTCCTTTTTTTAAGGCCAATTGCAACTGTCAGTTAACTGTTGAACCCCATCTACACCTTGATTGAACATTACAACATCACAAGTGGTACATACCAATGGTATCAATTGCATTCAAACCCAGGCCTTCCTCAACTCGGCCTAGAAACTCCTCACAACTCTTGACCATAGAATCAACCTTTTGTCTTTTCTCAAACGGTGTCTCACTCCATTTATCGCCAAAGCCGTCAGTATCGATGGTCAGCGGACGCATAAGGTCCCGGATGGGTAGAACATGGCTGATGAACATGGTYTTGAGAGTGTTGGTGGAATCTTTGTACGTTACTTTGCCGCCTAGTGTCATGTGTAGGGCTGGTGATTTGTACTGTAAGGCCAACACGTGGGTAACCTAGGTAACGAAACATAGGATTACCATGGCAACGAAGACGAACTAATAGTAAAACACTTTATAGTTTCATGGGTAACCTAGATAACGGTTCAATTACTATTGCAACGAAGGCGTATGGCAAATTTTCATTGGGTAGACAAAGTTGGGCCTATTGCTATGACAACGAAGGAGGAAAATACTTACCGACGACAACGGCTTAATTTCTTCGTCGACGAATCGATTATCACTCGACGAATCGAATGATGCTCGTAGATTTGACGGCGGGTTTAGCGACGTCACGACGTTTGTCACAGGAAGGTTTCCTTTACTCTGATTGGTCAGAAAAACAACCAAAACAAGTTCATCCGGTTTGTAAACTTTTTGTAGTGTTACCCTTATGTTGGCATCCGAAGAGAGATCTATCTTGTCACGTGATGTGGGATAGTCTTTCAGTTCGTCGGGCACCGTGAGGGCAGATACACTTTCTTCATTCAATGCAAGTCGATTGACGTCCTCAGATATATCAGAATCAATTAAAGATTCTATCGGATTCTATAAATAAAGTACAACATTTCTCAAGGTGTGGTAATGAACCTGTCACGCAATGCTGCGGTAACGCAACCCTTACTCGTGACATTTTGAAGTTGCAGCATTGCGTGCAATATTGCTGTGTTTCAACCTGTCACGCAATGCTGCGGTAACGCAACCCTTCTCGTGACATTTTGAAGTTACAGCATTGCGTGCAATATTGCTGTGTTTCAACCTGTCACACAACGTTATGGCGTRACAACTTGTCACATAACAATTCAGTGTCAAACTCTTTCAAGCGAAATTGTTGTTCGTTGTACCATCTTCCACTCACGCAACGAAAAAATGTCGTTTGTTGTAGATTTAGGAGCGCTCTGATAACACAATTAACAATGTTGCATGACAATAGCATTTTTCACGATTACTAAAAATAGGTATCGAAAAGCCTTGTGGGATGAAAATGCAGACAAACATTGCAAATAAAGGCTCAGTTGGATTACATGGAAAAGAATAATACTATCAGCTAAAAACCCATAGCTTTTTCACGAGTTGGGGAAAAAAACAAGAATCCAAACATTATCGCTAGCACGTGCGCTGGGCTTGCCTTGTCGGCATTTCAATCCCATGATGCACGACTATGACGTCATAGGTGGAAAACGCTATTTACACGACTTGATGTCTCACCATGTCGGACGATTTTGGTCCTAGGTCTAAAGCACTTTGATGCTCTATCAACAGCTCTCTTGAATCCTCTTGTTCCTTCATATCCGGCAAGTCTTCATGGACTTCACCCTTTTCCGGGTTACCATCATCAGTAACCAACTCTACTTTCAAAATATCATTACCCGGCGGTAAAGCATCACTACTGCTCTCCTTACAAATGTCTTTATCAGTTCGTTCAGTCATTAGAGGAATCACAGTTGCCGTGTTTTCTGAATCGTATAAAAGTTCATTGAAATTATCTCCAGTGGTAACCAGTCCCTCTGAAACAGACTCGTTCGTGTCTGTCCGAGGAGACTGGGAATCATTGTCCAGGCTTAACAGCAGATCGACTTCATTTGTTGCCATCGTGTTTTTTTCTAAATATTTTCGTGGTGGAGGTACAGGGGGGTGGCCAGGATCGGATATATCGGGGATTTTTTTGCGAGGGGTCGAGCGAGTTGCCCGACCAGTCCCGCGGGCGGCAGTACCTTTTCTACCGGGGACTTGAGCCTTGTCTCCAACTCCTTTGAAGAGATCATTAACCAGGCGTTGCTTGCTTTTGTCTTCATGTGTAAAGACAAGCGGGCTTGGAGAAATCTATAACGACAAAAAATGCTGGTCACGTGATATTTTCCCGCCCTTCACTAGTCACGTGACTTCCCCCTTTCCTTTTAATCGGAAAACTTATCAATGGATATGTGACATCAATGGTTTTCGCCTATCAATGGTTACGTGACATTTCCATTTACTATTTGCTATGGCCACGTGAAGTTCTCGTCACATGTCAAGTGATACTTGCATATTATTCGTCGTATGTGACGTCAAAGCCGCCATTGTGGATGACCCAGCAAAATCTTGATTTTTAATTTTGTGGCTATCCAACATGCCAAGCCATGTCTTTTATCGTTTGGCTGCATCCCAATATCATCTCTTGTTTTGAAGTATCTAACTACTTGATACCCATTCTTACCTCGGATTTACTCGTTAGTACTGGCAACCGCTCGGACCCAGAGCTCCTGGACGATGATCCCGACATGCTCTCTGATTCCCCTGACCCTGACCCTAGTCCCTTAGAGTACCCTTTAGGCCCCCAAGGTCCCTGTACACCAGATATGGCCTTCAAAGTAGTTGGTTCTTCCAGGACTCTTCTCTTAGTGTAAGTTGCAGTATTTGGTTTGGGTTTTGGTTCGTCTATTTCGATGGTGACAGGTCTTGGGCGTGGTTCTTTGATAGGGGGTTTGGGGAAATTGTAAGGGGTGAGCTTGAGCTTTGGATCTTCAGCTTTGATTTCTGAAAGATAAGATCATATAGATTATTATATAAAGATTGTTTTGAAATAAGTACCATCATGTATCGTTACCAATCACTACTATCATCATCACCAAGGATCATCATCATGCATCATCATCACCATCATCATCATGTACCTTCATCACCATCATCATCATCACCATCATCACCATCATCATCACGTACCATCATCATCACCATCATCGTCATGTACCATCATCACCATCATCATCATCATCATCATCATGGATCATTATCATCATCATCACCATCATGTACCATCATCAACATCCTCATCATCATCATGTATCATCATAATCACCATTTCATTAAAAGTTGATTCTGAATTTTCAGATATTTTTTTTTGGAAAACTAGAACCGTACATCAATGAATGGACTGGACGTCTGTTAAGGGTCCTTGAATCGCCAAAAATATTTTCGTCGAATTTTCAGCTTTTGAATGGGTGTGGATGATCGTAATGAATAGAAAAAACATGCCCAACCTCTGAAATTTGATTTGGGCTTTTAAATTCCGAATTTTGAGCGATTTTTTAACTTTGGAAAATCCGGAACCGAGCATGGCTGGACTGGACTGGACTTCGGTTAACTGGATTGCCCGGATCGAAAAACGTTTTTACGCTGAATTTGCAGCTTTTATCCTATGATTTTTATTTTTATTATTATAACTAATAATTTTATGCTAAAAATTTGCAAAAAATCAAGATTTTTTCATAATTAAAATTTGTTTTCCATACTGATTACAGTGAAGAAAACGTGCTTTGTGGAGTTATAAAGCATATTATAAAATAACCGTTATGGACCTCACGTTCTGATTGGTTGGAAGCGCGTGCTTTATAACTGCACACAGCACGCGCACACGTTTTCTATTTCATGGATCATCATGATCATCATCATCTTGATTATCATCACCATACACCATCATCATCATCCCCATCATGCATCACCATCATTATGGATCATCATCATCATCATCACCATCATGTACCATCATCATCCTCCTCACCATCATCAAGCGTCATGACCATGACCGTTATAATAATGATCGTTCTTATATAACGTATATAATGATGCGCTTAAAATATCCATCATTGATAGCAGCTGTTCTTGATAGAAGTATCAACATCAATAACTTTATTTATCATCATCTTCATTCACTAGAACATAAAATGAAAATATGTAAGATTACCAACCTTTCATTTTTATTGTCGTCTCATCGTTTCCTCGTTGATCCTCGGGTAAGTAAGGAGAGGCTCCCTGTTGTAACGCCTTGGTAACGTAATCATCCAGGAACGACAGTGACGAGTCAACCTGCAAAACACCATGAAAAAATTTGTGTTGAAGAGGAAAAGGCCCTGGTCGGATCGTTTGGTGTGTGGTCGGCTATTCAAGGACGGATCAAGGAATTCTTCAGAGCGGGGGAGAGGCTAACGTTTGCCTGTGGCAAAATTAAATTTTAGGACAAAACAATTAATTGAACCTCTGGTATGACAGGGGGTCTGCCCCCCCCCCCCCCGATCCCTCCTGGATCCGCCCTTGTTATTAGAGGTGGTCAAGTAACGGAAAAAAGGGTCCGAAAGAGAGGTTATGGGGTGTTGTAGATTACTTCCAATGTCTTCACATAATGTGGTCGGATAACAGAGGTTACGAGTGTACTTTAGTGGTCGGATAAAGGAGGTTGTGCAGCATGTTGTACATAACCTCAATGTCTTCAAAGTATAGATAGTGGTCGGTTAACGGTGATTATGAGTACAACTTGGTGGTCGGATAAAGGAGGTTGTGTACATAACCTCAATGTCTTCACAGCATAGATAAGAGTCGGTTAACGGAGGTTATAAGTACACATTGGTGGTCGGATAAAGGAAATTGTGTAGGATATTGTGCACTACCTCTATGTCTTCACAGCTCGCATCTTCTGGTAACACTTTCCGCATGAGGCTCGAATTTTTGGACAACATTTCGATTTCATGGCATCGCTGGAAACAAAATAAAAATGTGCAATGATGAGGATCGCAATATCCCCTTGGGCTTTCTGTGTCTTAAATGAGACGGACGAGGGATTCTGCAGGGTTCGCAATAAACATATTTGGGATTTTTTAAATATACTGCTATGTTCCTTGATCATAGACTCACCTAAACAGGGTAACCCTCACTTTTTATCAAAATATTCACAAATACCAACGGTAAAGTAAAGAATGCATGACTTCAACGATACAACCACTTTGAAATTCCACGGACCTTGACTGGAACATGTGAATATTCTACACAAAATATTCCCTTTCAAAGTTCCTTGCGCCATCTTGAAAGATAGCCGTGCCTTTGCATCGAAGCGAGACGAACGGTGAGCTTACAATGATAGAGAACTTTTTTAACACCTTAGACAATTATTTACATGTCTCTATCATTGCAAGCTCATGCAAAGACTCGGCTACCTTTCAAGATGGCGTAGGGAACTGTGAAGGGGACTATTGAGGCTAACCCTGAGCAACAGATAACTCAAAATTGGACTATCTTGAAATGGGTTTATTACCTGTAATATGTCGATATCTGAAGTGGCTGATGTTAAAATCTGTTGTATTTTGTTTGGCATTTGACTACTGCTTGTCTGAGACAGGATCTTGCCTATGGATGTTACTATCCATCGCTTGGTACTGGGATCTGGAAAGATAAATAATATTTTGTATAATTTGTAAAAGTAAAAGTAAAACGTTTTCTTGATGCACCACCCTTGTCACCCATCGATTAAGGGRAAAAAGGAACAGCTTGTGGCGGGTTTCAAAGAAAGATACGAACCTGTGTAATTCCTGTCCAGTAAACAACACAGTTTGTCGATCACAGATTCTGGTTCCAACTCTGGTACTGTATAGGAGTATTCGCCCAATACCTGAAATGAGGGA